CACAACTGTTGGATATTTTGTTTGGTAGCTTAGCATGTGTGCACGTACATGGTGCATACAAAAACCTCATGGCTATTTGTGGGACATTGATATACACAAATTATAAGTTTCACCCACAAAATAAGCACTACACTTTACAGTGCGGTGAAGTACTTTGAGATTTCAATAGTCCTGATGTGAGACATTATACCAAATGTGAGAATTATTACTTAACTTTAGAGTACTGAAAATGCTCAGTTCTTGCTCTGGAGAATGCTCTGAGTTACTAGATACTAATGTGGTACATCTATGGTGCATGTTTACAAATGATCTGCGTTGTGCAGTGTCACATTTTCTGTAATAAATTTGATATGTGTTTGGCTGCTGGATGTGCTGAGGAAAAACATTGTTCTTTTTTTATCAGCAATGTTCATAAATCAATATAATTTTGATATGTCAATAACATTTCAAAAGCTAATAATGGACCAATTGTTTGTCTGTTGTTTTTCTGTTGTATTTATTGCAGCAGCTGTTTTTGTTATGGAAAAAGTGAGGCACCAAAGTATTAAATCGAAGTATTTTCCACAGATCAAAGCAGCTGTTAGAATTCATGTCCCACAGGACTGAATCGAAATTGCAGTAGATGTTTTGAAAATATAACCACAACATGGTCATTCATCATCTAGAAATACTTCATGTTGTTTGTAAGGCTGACTGACTGAATAGCTGAAATGGGAATCTACCAAGGTTTTTCTTTATCAGTGTTGTCATTATATGTGAAGCTTTCAGATCAATTAAAAGAATTATGAAAACCATTTTAAACCCGTAGACATAATTTGTGGAATGCAGTTATATAATTCCTCGTGACATTTCGATTACATTCAAGATTAATATTTTCTATTTCAACATTCAGTCTGATTACATTTACCATTGCAATATTCCCACAGGAGTAGGATTGACGCAGTTCAGTTATATCTGTTTCTTTGTTGATAAGAATGAAAAAAAGTGAATGTCTTGTCTGGCAATATGACTAGATTTAACTGCAGCAGCAAGGTACAATTTTAAAATTGTTATCTGCCCATTTATATCTATGAAAATGTTTTAAATTGCATTTTATTATTTTAATGTATTTTATTTATTTCCCAAAATTATTTTAATCTATCTTTATTTTTAACACTGGTTATCTTTGAAACCTATGTCAGTCATTGAGAATCAATAGACAAAAGTTAAATAGGCAGGCCATGTTTCATCTTTCCAAGAGAAGTGGCTTTCCTAAATTTTTGTATTTTGTGTTCAGTGTGAGAAAGAGAGCAGTTGTGCTGGAGAATGAAATAGGATGATTTCTGGATGACTTAATAGAATCGAGTGCTCTCAGATCAAGTACACCTCGCTGATCTCTGTACATTACCCAATAATACAATCCCAATATTAGAAGAGCATCCTATACTGCAGCAATGTAATGTGCACTTTCCATGCTAACCATTGGTGTATGTGATTAGTAATTTAAGAGTATTATATGCAGAAGCTATCAATGTTTATTTGAAAAGCATGGACTATAAAGATTAGTCAACCTTGATTTAGAAGCAGTAGGCCATACGTGTACTAGATTGTTTTGAGTGGATGAGGGCTATCTAATTTATCAATAGTAATAATAATAATCCTTATATTTGCTATATCGCCTTTCACATCAGATCATCTCAAAGCACTTTATATGATATACTGTAAAGTCGAGTGACTGTGTGTTTTGTGGGTGAATGTGGCAGCCAATTTGTGCACAACACAGAATATTATTCCACATGTGGGACTTTTAAGGAAAGTTAAAACTCAGACAGTGAATGGCAAATTAGCTAGTTAGATTGAAAACTCTTAGCAATAAACAGATAGAACTTAAAGTAGAAGAGTCCAGGCCCAGATGTTCGGTGTCCTAGAATATTGAAATGGATGTCAAGGGAACAATTTCTGAGTTTGCTGTTGGTGCCAAATTAAAAGAGTGCAGCAAACTGAGGAAGAATAAAATAAACTATGGAAGAGCGTATAGATAGCTGGCAAATGCTGTTTGTTTTGAAATGTAAAGTAGTATGTTTTAGGGAAAAAGAACAAAAGCAAAATAGACCAGAAATAGAGATGTTCTTAGTGATCAGAAACAGAAAACTAGGGGGCCATATCAAAATAAAAATACCCATAAAAAGCAATAGGATTCTGGTCTCACATATACTGCAAGGAAGTTATGTAAAATTCACGAGTTTTGGTTGGGCCACAGTTAGAATGCTGCATACAGTTCTGGGTGTCCCACTGCAGAGAGGCATCAGAAACATAAAAATGGTACAGTGGAAGACTGTGCAATGATATGAGGGCTGAAACGTAATAGTTATGAGGATAGGCTTGAAAGTTGTTTTCCCTGGAACAAAAAAGGTTGCTAGGAATCTCCAAAATTCTGAAAGGTTCTGAGAGAATAATTGTGAAAAATTATGGCTGTTAGTTGGTGAATTGGTAACGAGGAGCAGAAGCTCAAGATTGTAATTGAAAGTTAATCTTTTCACACAGAATTATTAGGACGTGGATATTTGGGCAAATGTGACTGATGAGGATAAGGCCTCCCGTGCTGCAAATTCAATAATTCTATAAATAAAAAAAAGCTCTTTTTGGGATAGTGATGTCTTTGTCTCTTGCCGTTCATGTTATTCATGCATCATTCGGCAAAGAGCACATCTTATAATATGATGAAATATGTTGAATCAAAACTCTAGCGAGATAGATCAGGCTAAATAAATAGCATACACAAGATGTGTGTCAATTAACGAGATAGGTCAAAGAATGGCTGAGGGATGTTAATGTGAATCAATGCAGGATATTGGAACAAGATATTGTACTGTGACAAGATTAAAGACGTCCATTAGTACAAGTTGAGAAACACAGAAACAGCAGTAGGCTATTCAGTCCCTCAAGCTTGTTCCGCCATTCTATAAGATTATGGCTGATCTGAACCTCAAGTCAAGCAAAATAATTAATGATCCAAGTGAATGTGAGGCTGCTGTGAATTAAGCTAATAATATACCAGATTATATCTCAGGGCATTTGACTGACACAAGAAAGACCAATCATTTTTAAAAACGAATAATAAATAGCCAAACATTCAATTCTGCTTCAGTTGAGAAGTAGGTCATTTTGTTGGAGGGAGAATGTTAGTTGTTCCAAATGGGAAGAAAAAGCATGTGAGGCCATATTTGAAATATGTGCATTTGTGGTCATCCTAACTTTATTGATGCTTTGGAAAAGGTTCAGAAAAGAGCAATGACGATGGAGATTCTAAGTTATAATGTGAAGCTCACACAGCTTCACTTATTCTCAGGAGGGAGGAGATGTGATCTAGGTTTGGAAAATAATGAAAGGGGTAGATGATGTAGATTCGCTGATGTAAGCAGATGATTTAGACGATAAGAACACAATTAGCGTCTAAAAACAGGAACATGCAGAACGATAAAATGGGATTATGATCTGACTGATTTCAATTTTGCATATTGTCTCTTCCTCTTTTGCATGCCCCAATCTTCTCCACCATCAAATCTTCATTGAGCTTCCTCATAGAGCTTCCTCTTGAAGCTGCCCATACTATGCACAACTCCTGTCTCCCTGGGTAAACTATCGCATCTGTTAACTCCCCTCTAGCTAAAATAGTTAAGTTTTCCAATCAAAATACACCAGATAACTATTGGAATATTTTTTCATGTTTTTTGAAGTTCTGTTTAATATTTAAATGTTGTATTGTTATTGGTTTTAAATGCCTATTGGTTGTTCAGTTTAGTTTATTAGGAGATAGGTTTTATCGGCTTGTTTCATGTTTGAAATCATGTTAGAATAACTTTGAAACATCTTTAATGGGATCACTTGGTCTCTAAAGAGCAATTCAATCTAGGTGATGCTGCCAGGTATAGAATAACATTACAACATGCCAGTTTAGACTGATTATAAAAAATGCTTATAATGAGAAAATTAACAATTTTGATACTGGAAATAGCTGCAAGGTTTTGATACTGCAAGGCTTATGGAAGGTAGATTACATTAAAGTAATTCTATATGTTTTGTCCATTATAAATTTTGAAGTGTATGGTAATCACTGACAACCGAATAGCACCACAGTGACCCATTTGGAAGGGAAAAAGTCCTCCTCCTTCAAATTGACCTACTTTACCAAGTGTAAAAAGACTGAATGTTTGTCTAATTATCGTTTGTTTTTAAAAATGTTTTTCTTCCTTTTCTGTTTCGTCTCCCATCAATACTCAACACACCAAGAAGAGCACTAAGCGCTATGCTAAACTAATATAGCATGATATGCTTTTGGATTATTTCTCCTTCTCCAGGGTGATGTGCTTCTACTTAGCATCTCCCAGGTGATTCCAAAACATTATTTAAAAGAAATTGGAGAAACACTTAAAGAAGAATATTAAGTGGCTCAGGGAAGGAGCAGGGAATGAGGATCAAGTAGAGAGTTCCTGTGGGGGAGCCAGCATCAGCACAGACAGCAGTAAACTTTCAGTGATTCTATAATCATTGAACCAGCTCTATTTTTAGTGAAGGCCATTACAGTAAATGTATTCCATCAAATCAAGTTTAGTTGAATTTTAATAAGGTTACACTGAGACTCCTAATCCTGAATTTAATTCTCAAATGTGTATGTTCAGTACTACAAAAATATGTACAATTTCAAAGGTGATTAAAGCTGTTGCTTTAGGGCATTGCAATTGAAAGCTTGTGCTGATTGTGTTGGTAGAGGGAGTTAAGTGGTTAGTCACATAGGAAAAGAGGTCACTCAACTCATTCTGCTATTTTATTAGATTTTGACAGATCTTTTACACATTTTATCTTAAAACTCACCCTTTGTTCCATAACCTTTAACACCCTTACTTTCTAAGTTTTGAATGACTTTTGGTTGGCTGAATGTGCTTTTCTTATCTCGACTTCCTGTAGGTGTATGTTTTAAGAGACTAAGACATTTGCTAGACATATGTTCATTTCTCTTGCAGCAAATGAAGCAAGCCGAGGAGTCACTGCCAGAAAAGAAGAAAGGTTTGGAGGAAAGGAAAAGAAAAAGCAGCAAAGATTTTGTGAAGTAATGCTTGTAAAAAGTGACATTCGAACCTTTGATGGATGAAGCCATACAACAAATTTAAACCTACTGCAAATGTATTCATAATTATTGGGCATAAGTATTCATGCCATTGCACGACAACCTTGTCACCACTGCACTAAAATGTAACATAACTTTGCATTTTAATTTAATTCACTAAAAGTTTGCCTGAAGCTTTATTGAAGTCTGAATATACAATATGGAGTGATACATTACTACAGTATTCCTTCTCGATGATTATATGCAACATTGTCAGTTTATGTTGAAGTGTTGTTCACATGTTGAGGTAGGTGAGTTAGCTCTTCAAGCAAGCAGGTAAAACAAATTTCCTGTTGCTCTTATGCAAGAGTTGAATGAATGAAAGATGAAAATTGAATTTTTGGTTCTTGCCTTGAATGATGTAAATTATGTAATTGATGTGCAGATACCTTATCACAATAAAAATATTGCTGTTCCTAACATAAGATTCTTGTGTACAAAACAAACTGGCTTCTGGGTTTTAGAGTTAGAGCAGGCGAAATTCCACAAGTACTGCTGCTTTTTAATTTCTGCAAGGGGAAAGCTGAAAATCAAACAAAGCATAATTTGATGGGAGCCTCATATACAAAACAAGGAATGTACTAAGACTTGTGCTACGTGACTTTAACTCTCCCAGGAGCTTTAAACTGTTTCTCAGATCATGTGCTACATACAGCACAGGAAGAGGCCATGTAGACCATTGAATCTGTCCTGATTATAAAAGAGCAATCCATTTAGCTCCATTTTATTGGCCTTTTCACATACCACTTTTTCTCCTTACAGATAATAATCCCTTCAAAAAATATACAATAATTTGGTCACTTAATCCATCACTGTTTGCACACTGCTGTGTGCAATTGGATGCCGCGTTTCGCCCACAAAACATAGTTAATTCACTTTACAGTATATTCTGTGAAGCACTTTGAGACGTCTAGAAGATGTGATAAGGTGCTATATCAAATGCAAGGATTATTATTTTATCTAATTCCCTTTTAAAGGCTAATATGGATTAAGCCTCAACCACAATTCTAGACAGGGTATTCAGTTCAGCCTATTGGGTCTGTACCACTTGCTTTCCACATTCTTGATGTGTGTAATACAAAAAAACTTTTTCGGGTGCTGATAATGCTCAATTTATGCACTCTTGGAAGAACATACAGTTGATACAGAATTCTGTTCTGTCCTCAATTCCGTATTTAGACCCTCCAATCTGGCTTCTAGCCCACCGCAATGTTCTGGACCTCCCAAGGTACTAATATGTGAACAGAGATCATCCTTGTGCTTAGTGCAGTTATACATTATCTGCTAATTAAGTTTGTAAATAATAACAATCCTTGCATTTGATAAAGTGCTTTTCACGTCTTCCAGATGTCTCAAAGCGCTTCACAGAATATACTATAAAGTGAATGGACTGTATATTTGTGTGTGAAATGCTGCAGCCAATTGCGCACAGCAGTGTCCCACAAACAGTCGTGGATTGAAATGACCCATTTTATAATTGTTTTTTTATTGAAGGATAATTATCAGGCGTGTGGAGTAAAGAAACTTGCCCAAGGTTTTGCCCTGCTAGGAATCGAAGAGAGATCTCTCGCTTGCGAGGCGAGTGCTCTAAGTACTGAGCTACAGGACTCCACATTTGAAGATGGAGGTTAACAATGACAACAGCAACAACTTGCACTTATATAGCACCCTCCACGCAGGGTAGCATCTCAGAGCACCTAACAGCGGTGGAGCCTGATGGGGGCGGGGGGATGGGGGGGGAGTGGCGGTAAGCACAGCCAAAGAGGAAGGTTTTCAGGCGGGACCTGAAAAAGGGGAGAGAGGGGCCAAGGAGGAGGGACTGAGGGAGAGTGCTCCAGAGTTTCAGGGCTGAAAGCACGACCTCTGATGGTGGGGTGGAAGGTGCGAGGGACGAGCAGATGGATGGTGCCAGTGGAGCAGAGGTGCCGGGTGGTGGATTGGGGAGTGAGGAGGTTGGAGAGGTAGGGAGGTGCCAGGGAGTGAATGGATTTGAACACGAGTGGGAGGGTCTTGAAGTCGATCCATTCGGTGTTGGGAAGCCAGTGGACCCTGGCCAGAACTGGTGAGACGTGGGTATGGAGTTTGGTCTGAGTAAGTGCGCGGGTGGCAGAGTTTTGAATGAGCTGGATCTTTTGAATGAATGGTGGAGCTGGGGAGACCGGCGAGGAGTGCGTTGGAGTAATCCTAGCAGGAGGTGACACGGATGCACAAGGGTTTCGGCTGAATTTGGGGTAAAAACGGTCGGAGGTAGGCTATGTGGCGGAGGTGGAAGAAGGCGGACCTGGTCACGGACCAGATGTGGGGGAGGAAGGACAGCTGGGGGTTGAATCAGACGCCTGGATTGAGCACTGGCTCAGTGATTCTGTGGGAGCGCCCAGGGAGGTTGAGTTTAGATCCGCAGGAGTGAAGACAAGCTGGTAGAACATCCGTGGACCTGGAGTCGATGCTGAAGGAGGCAAAGTAGATTTGTGTATCATCCGTATACATGTGGAAGTTTACCCTGTGTGCGGATGACATCACCCAGAGGGTACTTATAGATGAGGAAAAGAAGAGGGCCAAGGGTGGAGCCCTGGGGTACCCTGCAGGTAACCGGGTGGGGGCGGGAGGAGAAACCATTTGCTGAGATGAGGAGGCAGAGGGAGCCCTGGTCACAGATAGAAAATGTCGTTTGTGACTTTGACAAGCGCGGTCTCTGTGCTGTGGGCAGTCGGTGAAAACCAGACTGCAGGGGTTCGCCCCCTCCTTAGCCTCCTTCAAGTCTCGCCTCAAAACCCTCCTCTTCGATCACGCCATCAGTCACCCCCCCTTCCCTCGACCCCAGCTCGGGTCTGAAATGCTGTACACTGTCCAGTGCCTTGGGACGTCTTCTCGACGTGAAAGGCGCTATACAAATGTAATCGTTTTCAGGGGAGTGGAACAGAGCCTGAGGAGAGAGACTGCTTGACCGTGTCGGCCAGCAGTGGGGAGAGAAGGGGGAGTTGAGTAACCAGCAGCTGAGTGGTGAGGGGGTCAAGGTAGCAGGTGGTGAACTTCATCCGGGTGATTGTGGTTAAGAGGGAAGGAGAAATGGGGACAAAGGAGTGTAAGGAGGGGAAGTGGCAAGAGCTGTGGCAGAGGGAGAAGGCGGTTTGGATGGTCCGGGTGGGGTGGAAGGGAACATGGTGGGGGGTGGGGGGAGGACGATGCAGCCAAGCGGATGTTTTTGATTTTTGAGGCGAAGTAGTCGTGGCAGCCACTCACTTTGGCTTTTACCTTGGTTTCGGCGAGGTCAACAAAGTACTTCTGGGAGATTAGTGAAGGAGCAAGGAAACCTGTATCCTGATAACTTCAGTGACACGGTTTAAGAGTAGAAAAATGCAATTCTCAGGGAAACAGGCACATTCACAAAGAAAATGCAGATCAAGAGACCTTATTCTGGATCTCTTGATTTGGCTAATCCTCCATAGGAAATAAGTCATTGAACTGTGGATCACTATCAATGTTTCAGCAGTATAGAATCTCAGGTTAGGTCATTTGATGGATAGCTTGAACTCACTGGATCAAAAGAAGCTGCTGGTAGTACAATACAATGCTTAAAGCCACCACAGTAGAAATACTAATGGTGTAGATATAGCTTTCTCTGAACTTAAATGTGATTAAAATTAGTTGAACAAGTGAAATATACATAGAGAAGACAAGTTACTAAAATAAATGTAAATGTGATATTTAGTAGAAGCAGCAAAATGTCACGTGTAAATGTGCCAGGCAACAAAGCTTTTGATTTTATTAGAAATTTATAAAGAACAAATCACAAGCAAATAATAGTCTGTCACAATATTTAATTCAGACATGAAATATACAAATTTTAAAGACAGGTTGGGCATGGGATGTTATGCTTTAAGCTATTACATTATTTGGTCCAATAATATCCATAAGTAGTGGTTATTTTTTTTCCATTCTTTGCACCAAATGATGCAACACAACAAACACATGCACGTTCATTTACTTGGACAATTCCATACAGATTACAAACTTACCACCAAGTTTTCCCCTATATTAATCTAATTCTAGAGCTATGCACTTTACATAGTCAACATTGCAGTTTTTTCAGCACCGTATATACACAAATATTTACATACATTGTACACAGGCTGGTAGTCTAAAAGGTGGCATCACAAGGCTGTACACCATAAAATATAAATGAAACATATTTACAATAGTCTAAAAACAGCTACTACACAATTACTGCAAATTCACTTCACTAGTTATATTTCCCACAATTTAATCAGTTACTAAAGTGGAATGCTAGTATACCTTAAATGTAAACTAACCCATCCCATGTCTTACAGTGTGGCTTGGAACACACATCAACCATTGAACAATTAATGAAGGGCCTCTAAAAAAGAGCTCTGCCAGTAAACATTTCAAGGAAGCAGGTGCATATCTGGCTTATAAATGACAATTCTGCTCAGATGGAGTTTGATTGTATTTTGGTCAGCTGGATATCTGATACATGGAAACCTATCAAAGCAAACTACAGTGTTCCACATGTGGTATGGAACACACGCACACCCTGCTTTCCTAATCTCAGAAAGTGTTGTCAGGGTTCAGGATTCTTGGATTTAACACTGTAGTACCTGTGGCTTTTAACAAGCCAAAACAGGAGAACTGATCAGCTTCCCATTGCTTGTCCAATCATCACTCCCTATCCATTCGAGCTTTGGATTGCAGGTTATTAGGAACTGAGCAAGAAGAATATCAGCTCCGAGTGACTCATAAGTCCTGTCATTGAGCCAGGATAGCTGGTCCACCTTGAACTTTGCATTTGGTTCTGATCTTCCATTGCCAAACCAACTCAGCCCTACAAGAAGTCTCCACTCATCTCTCTTCTCCACCTGGATAGTCACTATCCAGATCAAGTATGTCTATGCATATGTTCTGCAAGAACCTCACTTGGAATTTCAATGTCAAATTATGTCCATTTCCTGAAATCTAAATCTGAAAGAGATTCAAACTCCCTGTGGGACAGAGCAACATCTAAATGACTTTGATACCGACATTGCCTTTCAAGAAAACCCCATCTTAATACTATCTTTAAAATACAATGTCACTTAGTTTTATATAGTTCCAGTCACTACACCATATGATTTACCCCATACAGCTGATAAGACCAGGTTTACACAAACATACATATACTAAGAGACAGGCTAACCTTAGTGCAGTGCTTTCTCCCATTTAGGGCAGCGTTGTGCCATGTATACAAGTAACTAGTCGAGTTACTTCCAACATTAGGGCACTTCAAAGCAGAAATCCTGCACAAGTTTGCCTTTCCCTGAGTTTAAGTTAATACTGAGTAGCCTACTTCGAATTGACCTGTACTCGCTTTAAAATGTTAAGACCATCCAGTGTGGGTTTCAACTGCTCTGCAGACTGCATTTTGTCACAGGAGCTGCAATGTTCATTATGTTATTGCTTTGGTTCTTTTCTGTCAGACGGATTAGAGTACATCACTTCACCTCACATTCTTTGATCAGTACAAAATATGTCATTTTTCAGAACAGATTCATCATTTTCTCCATTAAGTGCTATATGTGGAGTTACAAAGTGCTCCATTTGCTTAAACTGCATTTAGCTTCAGCACAGACACAACTAAGAGGTTGATGCTAAATTCCTAGGTTAAACCATACAGATGTGGAAATTCTGCACTAATTTTTGTTTGCCAGAAATAAAGCAGCAGTGAGCAGCATGCAAAAAGACCATGCATTGTCATATATAGCAAACAAATTAAAACATAGAAATAAATAACTCAAATCCCATTAAAAGCTGAAGACNAAAAAAGGAACAATTTCACTGCGATAAGGAGGGTCACATTTGTAACCTAGCAAGAAACAAGTCATCGTTAGGTCAAACAAACTAAATAACTTGACAGCAACTAGTCTGACTGGAGGTACATAGCAGTCCCTCCTTAGGGCTCCGCTGAATATTCACAGAAATAGTTTTCTCACAAAGAGGTAGCTGTAGAACATTGTTTTTTAAGTTCATATTGTTTTCTTTTGACATTTCAAGCTCATTCAACATATCAGAATAGGAGTTACTGCTGCCAACAGACAAAGAGCGCTCTATATTGGTTGAGGTGATGCACATTTTCCAGGTTGTCTTTTCATGAATTTTGATGCTTGCAGAAGTGCTATTTTTTTGTGGCTCAATAATGTATTTACTACTGTTACTATGCAATTGTGATCCGAGGCAAAGGCTCACGAATTTCAGACTCTCTAACAGATCCTCTGCACTTTTAGGTGATTGAGTAGAATTTCCGTGTGCTGCACGGCTGCGTGTTGATGATCCAGTGTTATTGGTGCTCCCACTAGAATCATTAGAAGGGCTGCTTCCCCCCTTGTTGCTATCACTTGGACTGCTTTTATCGAGGCCAGCAGTCCCATCACTCGGTTTGCCTTGCCCACTTCCATCACCGCCGTTTCCTGGGGGCCCCTCACTGCTGTCACGGCGATGCCATGAATAAGTGAACCCACTGTCTTTGTCCAGCAGCCTACGGCTTTCTGAATCATCATCACTGGTTTCTGAGCTACTGCAGCTTGAACCTCTTCCTTGACTTTTCCTTTTGTGAAAGCGCTTGTGCACAGTGCCTGGAGAAGCTATGTTCATCTTTAGTCGACTGAGTTTGGGAGGTAGGTTTTCATCCATATCAAAATCATCATCCGATTCCCCTTCTTCAAAGATCTGATTGAGGACAGGAGCACTCTTTCTAGTAGTAAGTCTGTTTGTTATGGAAGGTTTCCTTCGCAAAACCACCTGGGCAGGAGGAGGAATTGCTTTTTTGTCATCATCATCTTCCTCCTCATCCTCATCCACTCTAAAGAGACACGTCCTTCCACTAGCAGTAGCCTTGACCCCTAATCCAGACGATTCTTCTTTTTTTTCTGGCTCACCCGGTTTTATTCTGTGCCCATTCAATGTCTCTGCAGTACGTGCTGGTGAACAGCTGCCAGGAACAGATGTGTGAGTGATGGCCGATGCTGTAATGTCCTCAATATTTTGGGCCACATCAATTTTTGTAGGCCAAGACTGTCTGGATTTGGAAAAAGAAAAAAATTACAATCTACTTTGCACCTTTTTCATCTCTTGCATTGAGCCTCAATACTAAACTTAAAACAACTGAATTGTCAATGAAAACTAAAGTATTTATGCACAATAATGTTATTCTACACTTGATGCTATACTGGCTTACGTACAATTGTGTCAGATGTTTGATATTAACGTCTAGCTAATCCTGCCTCCATACAGTGAATCCATTAACATCACGGAGTCATCTTATGTGCTGGGCTAAGAAATCCTCTGCAAACAGTCTGCTGGCTGAAGAAAGGATCACAATTACATTCTATACTAAAGCAACATTGTTTACATAATTTGGCACTTAAGAGACAATCCAAGATGGACAGTTGGGTTTAGACCTGCACAGATCTGCAGCCGTTACAGTAAACTTGGCAATCTAATAAGAAAAATATAATCCTTGCATTTGATAATAGCGCTTTTTCACGTCTTCTAGACGTCTCAAAGCACTTCACAGAATATACTGAAAAGTGAATTGACTGTATATTTGTGGGCGAAACGCGGCAGCCAAATGCGCACAGCAGTGTCCCACAAACAGTCATGGATTGAGTGGCCAAATTATTTTTTTTTCTTGAGGGATTATTATCAGGCGCAAGGAAACTTGCCAAAGGCTTCAGCCTGCTGGGAATTGAACCCAGGTTTTCCCTTGCAAGGCAAGTCCTCTAACCCTTCAGCTACAGGATTCGAATGACTGCAGAAATTTGTCCAGGTTTCTAACTTTATAACACAGGTCAGAACCCTACTGTCCTCTTGAGTAACCTAAAAATAGCAGAAATAAAGCCACAAAATCTCTACACAAATTGCACTCCAGGTCTGCTGGTGATGGTGCGTTTCCTCAAACTGAGAAGAAAACGATTTACTCGGAGAAGCCAACAGCTGCCAGTTCTCTCACCCTGTTGAATGCCAATCAGCCTGTGCCAATTGTAATGCCACCAGTGAAGTCACGATGCACATATACACAGAAACCGAACTGGCCTCTGGGTCAAGAGGCTGCTGCTGTCACTTCTTGCTCACTGCACACTTGCAGAAAGCCTCCAGCCTCGCCATGGGCATGAGATTGCTAGGGAACAATTTATCAACTCAGTAACCTTATACACATTCACCAATTTTACACATTCCTAAAACTTTATTTTTTTTCTTAGCATTCTATGCCATCTAGAATTTGCAAATTAGTTGAATTCATAACTAACCTTGAAGCTTTTTTCAATTATATTAAAAAAGCCAATTTAACAATTTGGCAAATTCTGAATGCTCTGAAATGCTATGAAAATAAGAGTCAATCTAGATCCAAGTGGAATATTTTGCCCAGAAAGGATCCTTCTCAGATTGGCAGGATGTGACTAGTGGAGTGCCACAAGGATCGGTGTTTGGGCCTCAATTATTTGCAGTCTATATCAATGATTTAGAGCAAATAGAACTTAACATATCTAAATTCGTGGATGATGTGAAGCTAGGTGGGAGAGTAAGCTGTGAGGATAACACAAGAAGAATTCAAAGGGAAATGGACAGGCTAAGTGAGTGGGCAAGAAGGTGGCAGATAGTGTATAACGTGGGGAAGTGTGAAGTTATTCACCTAGGCAGTAAAAATAGAAAAATAGATTATTTTCTAGAGGAGGACAGACGAGGTAGTGTTAGTGTTCAGAGGCATTTGGGTATCCTTGTACATCAGTTCAAAAAGTTAGTATGCAGGTACAGCAAACAACTAGGAAGGCTAATGCCATTTTGGCGTGCGTTGCAAAAGGGTTAGAGTACAAGAGTAGGGAAGTCTTGCTGCAGTTGTATAGGGCCTTGGTGAGACCACACCTAGAGTATTGTGTGCAGTTTTGGTCTCCTTATTTAAGAAAGGACATACTCGCCTTAGAGGGGGTGCAGCATAGATTCATTAAGTTGGTTCCTGGAATGAGGGGTTTGACCTATGAGGAGAGGTTGAGTAAACTAGTCCTATATTCTCTAGAATATAGAAGAATTAGAGGTGATTTTATAGAAACATATAAGATTCTTAAGGGTCTTGACAGGGTAGATAGTGTGAGACTGTTTCCCCTGGTTGGAGAATATAAAACTAGGCATCATAGTCTCAAAATTAAGGGCCAGCCTTTTCGAACTGAGTTGAGGAAACATTTCTTCACCCAGAGTTGATAGATTTCTAAAGGATAGAGGGATTAAGGGATATGGGGATAGGGCGGGTAAATGGAATTAGGTTAGAAGATCATGATCTTATTAAATGGCGGGGCAGGCTTGAGGGGCCGAATGGCCTACTCCTGCTCCTACGTCTTATGGTCTTGGAACAAAATAACTGACTAGTTTTGTAACTCACTACCCTGAAGAAATCCAAAGTTTGATCTCGTTATTTTTAATTACTGGAAGAAGAAACGCTAGGGCCTCTGGAGGATTTCAAAGTACATCACAATACTGAGAGGCCAAGTAATGACAGATGTTTGAAATGGATTTTTCGTATCCATGCTCATGGAGGAAAATACAGACTCTCTTCCTAAGGATGAGGTGGAATATCCAGTACAAGTTGACATTCTAAGAGTGATAAATAGTTAAAATAAAAATAACAAGTTATATGATCAGACATGGGCTGAATGCACACGATGCTGATTATACGTAAGGAATTGACCAATTAAATTGGTAATGTTTGGTAGGCATATTTATGAATTAGTGCCTGAATCCATAGTAATTTTCCATAATCCCTTTATCATGTTAAATGTTTACTGATGAAACATTTTACAAGAAGCGGGCACAGAACTTCAGTCAGAAATCAAAAGTACAGAGAGAGGATACCTCCCAACTCCACAGCAAAGTATGGAGATGGGTTTCCCCATGTATCAAGACACCAGGCTAATCAAATAAAACCCATGAAAACTGACTCGGACTTCCACCTGCTACAATTATAGTATCTCTAGAGTAGAGATTTATTTTAAATTATTATGATGTAATCTCAAATGTTGATTTGGAGTATTGCCTACAAAGATCAAGATGAATCTGGCTTTAATAAAATGCAATTGAAAAACATTCCATGCAACATTAACTTTTCCTGGAAATAAAAAGTCAAGTTTTGAATGTCTGCAGCACAACCAATTCCCAGACATTTTACATAATTTACCTGGATAGAGCATTATTTGAGGGTCATCATGTGAAATCTTTCAAGAGAAATTTCACCCTTTGCAGTCTATGCAGAAGGATGATTAGCATTTTTTTTAAAGAAAAAAATCTAATCTAGTTTAAAACAACGTGGATAATTGTCTGGAAAAAAAAACATTTTGCTCAACTTGGATATTTCGGTCCAAATGCTTCACTATATTAACTCTCGGGCTTTGTCCTGAACATGTAGAATCGTCTATTAATGTATTTCACAATGATTTGCCACTGAAATTCAAATTAACATGAGTTACTATCAGCAGCTATATGGAATCAATCAAATGAACTTCAAGCGTTTAAAATGAACGCTTGAAGAATGAAGGCATAAACATATATGGGAAAAGAGTTGGGAAATGGAATTGGAGTAGAAATCCTCAGAGGGAGCAAATAGCACAAGTACAGTGAGTTGAATGGTCTCGTTCTAGATTTATATTTTTCTTCACATTCCTTTAAAGGATTCTTTAAATTTCTGATCCTGGATGACAGCACACTAATTGCTTGTTGTGTTTGGTCACAAAGATGAGATATTGAGTATGCCAAAGGTTAACAAGAAGCATTATTCTGCAGCCAGGATATCTGTTTCACTCATTAATTTGATCACATGCTTTAACTGTAGACCTTGTGTGCAACTTGGGTCCTAGAAATGAACAATGTTTAAACTAAACAGACTATATTATACAAAGAAAGACCAGAATACAAGAGACCTTGATTTACTAATTAGTACAGCAGAGCCCAGTTATAACCAAGCACGCCTATAGCATGACAGGGTGAAGATGCTGACATTACAGTTAGCAAAAAAATCTAAAATGTGCATAGAAAGTGGCCAGCTCCATTAGCACACACCTTGGTTCAAAACTGTGACGCTGAAAATGAACATAATTTTTTGCTACAAAAAGCAGCTCAATATAAAGTCAAATTCTATCATTGTTGAATTTACTGTCAGCTTTCAACCAAAAACTCCCACATTTAGAGTACATTGTAAGATCTGAACTAATTCTATTTATACAGAATCTACTTTGTAATCAGCTTTAGCTTTAATAGTATTTATGTTGCTCATGTAAATAGATCTATAAATAAACTTATCAGATTATACTTTTTTTAAACAGAAAAGTAGCCAAAAAAAGTGTGATAATATACTAATTATTTTGTCAAATACTGAAAAAAGACAAACTACAGTAAATGAGTAGAGGCTCTTAAGAATTGAGGGTCTATCTTTAATTGTTAAATAGTCTCGCCAAGTTCAACAGTCTCGCCTTGCTTTTCGTTTCCCCAAATCCGTAACAACATTTAAAAAAAAAACAGTTCATTTGAAGACACATCTTGGAACCTTTGAAAACATGTCATAGTTAGTAAACTATCACTATTGTCCTCACCTGAATTGAGCTTTAATGCTGTTTGGACTGGCAGATCGGTTCTGGATTTCTTTCTCCTGTTTTTCCTTCAGGATTCTCTCAGCAAGCAAGAAGTAAGTGGCAGTGATGTGATTATACTTGTCAGTTTCCAGGGCCCTAAGGAAGATAAAACAAGCAACATAAAGCACCCATCAATAAGCATCTGGGGAATTATGTCCAGCAGACATTTTGTAAATACGCAGCAAACAATCTGAAAATAAGCATCTTTGACAAGATGACAAACGACTGTATGCTGTACCATAAAAATATAGCATCTCAGTTATAAGAGGGTGGCCTTAATCAACCTTTCACAGTTTTCAAAACAAAATCATGCAGATTAAAAATGACACTATAAATAGTTAATTTCGTTCAACAATCACTGATTAATTTTCATTATTAATTGTAAGGCCGCATCAATAGAGTACTTATTACTTTCATAAATGTTTCATCCTTTTCATATAGATACTGGGACTACTAAAGTTATGATCTTCCTATAATCCAGCACCACTATGAGTGAGATTTTGCAAATAATCCATGTTCAAATTAGCACTCCCTATGCCTAGAATTTAAGGAAACATTTAACCTAACAATGCCAGAATTTTCTATTTTCACACTTTATTTGGCACTAACGTGACGCTTACCATTTTGACTTAAAACAAATTCCCCTGCACAGCCATACAGAAGAAAGGCCTTTAATCTGGTGCTCATGGAATTGGCATTTTAGAGAAAAGGTAACAATCTGCCTGATCAATGTGCACCATTTGCATTTATGCTGCAGAGGTGGATATTAATCTTTGTAATTTAGTCATCTGGTCACCAGAAGTTATAAACTTCTAATTTGATAAACTCAGCCTATTCCCAAATGTGTATTAAAAGTAACTTTGAAACGATTCAAAAAGAAGAGTTTCTCCGAGCTGTTTGGCCAATAGATTCACATGATGGCTTTGTAGGATCTTATGTGTAAAATAATTGTTCAATTTGTCTAAATAAAGTCACTACACTTGACAGTGATGCTCCATTCTACTTGAACTTTATTTCTTCCTTGCTACCTTTTTTCCCCCTAGCTCTATTTCACTTTTTAGTCAATGGATATTTGTAAATTAAGCCAATGTTAAAATTGCATTGTACAAACCGACTTCCACAAATCAATATATTGGTTTATTATATTGAAACACATTTAAGAAACAGCCACCCGTGTATTTTTTAACGAAAGTCTTGACAGACCTTATTAATAAAGTAATTCTGAAAAAAAGCAATTTGTGAGGTTAGCACTGAGCTCTATAATAGATTTACAAACTGTTCACAAACTTGATATTTTATTGCAAGTATCCCATAACACTCTGAAAATGTGCTTCTTAATTACATATCAGAAATGCAAGTTTCTTCATATTTTCACATTTCTTTAGAGTAACTTACTCAATAATAGTTTCTCGGTCTGCTATGTCGCCAAGCACCATTCGCTGTATAATACCATTATGTTCTTCTTCTGAGAGATTCTTGTAAGAGACAAGTGGTATGTTATACTTAGTTGCAGGTGAGGGGTCAATTCCAAGAAGCCAGGGGTGGTTCTCAATCTCTTCTAATGAGGCTCTTCTTTTTGGATCTCTCTGAAGCATCCGATTAATAAGACTGTTGGAAAATCATACAAAACAAGTTATTATTAATAATAATAGTTGCATTGTTACAGCGCCTTGCATGCCTGGAGGACGTCCCAAAGCGCTTCACAGAATTTTCTGTAGTGTGGTGATTGTGCATTTGTGGCTGTGAACAATTAAACATCAATTCAAATGAGGATAAATGTGCCAAAAGTCAGTATAGGCACATTTGGTACTGAAAAATCAGATGCAAGTAGTATAGTACTGACAAGATACTCCAATACTAAGGCGAATGGAGGAAATGAAATGGGATTACAATTTTAAAATTGTAGTTTTATAATAAAATGCAAAAAAGCTTTGAAAGAAACGGCCTACAATGCATGTGAAAAAGAAAGGAGGGGGGTGCGGGAACTTGGCTCAACAAATCCATACCTTCCGTTTAGAACTCTCTCATAACATGGGCTCAATTTAATCTCTCCAAGAAGAGTCTAACAGATGAGGAACAAAAACAGAAGTCGCTGGGAACACTCAGCAGGTCAGGCAGCATCTATGGAGAAAGGAAAGTGAATCATCGTTTTGGGTCCACGACCCTTTGCCAGTTCTGACAAAGGGTCACGGACCCGAAACGTTGACTCACTTTCCTTTCTCCATAAATGCTGCCTGACCTGCTGAGTGTTCCCAGCAACTTTTGTTTTTGTTTCAGATTTCCAGCATCTGCAGTATTTTGCGTTTAGCTAACAGATGAGGAGTTTGATTTAATATGAGTTACGATGGTATCCAGATTTTCCTACATCTTAAGATGTGTTGTGGATGCTAAAACTTCAGAGTCTTAAAACTCTGAAGTTTGAGAATCCACAACAGAAATGCAGAAAAAACATTTAAAACAGTGTAAAATGTGATTTTAATGTTTGATTAAATGCCTAAATGTAAAAAATGCAGTGCACTTTAGCGAGTACAAGATATATCAAGATGAACATTGTGACAAATGTTTCTTACACTTTAAGGTGCCAAGATTTTGAATGTAGACATTGCTGGGTGGGTAGTCAAGCGATTAGCTTACATTAAATAATAATAAATAGTGCAAAGCAGCTATTGCATTTACATCCCAAGGATCAACTGAGAAAAGAAAGTGTTAAAGGCTAGAATTACATGCACTAAGAGAAAGAATTCCCAAACCCCAGGAAAAAATACTTGCAAGTAAATATTGCATAAGAAAGAGAGAAATAATAAAGCAGGAAAAAAGTTAAGTATCTTATATTCTTGCTAGGAGTATATGGCATGAACGTTTTGGGGCTATTGGATTGTTAATAAATAATATGGAAGAAAGTTGGCAGAATTGAGATCAGTTTTGAAGAACAGTGAAATTGGAAGGCTGCCTTACTCTTTGCATTCTTTGGAGACGTGCGTCGGTACTGTATATTTGCAGTCCATGATCATAGTGAGTGTCTCACTATCATTTGCTTCTTGAAATGGAGGTTGCCCACATACTAACATGAAAAGTATCACTCCCAGGCTCCAAATATCTGAAATAGAAGGAAAATCTTCATATATTCTCCAACATTTAATTCAATTTATATTTGAAAGTCAAGCCTAATTCCTAAATATACATTCTTTCTCTATTCATGACATCTACATTTTAACAGTATAATGTATTTTTTTTAAAGCACACTTTCCAATCTCAATAACGCCGACTATAAGCAATTTTAAAACTTTGCAAAAAGTATGGAAGAGTATTCTTGAAACACCTTCAGTAACGTAAATCTCACCATATGTAGTAATAATAATCCTTGCACTTGATATAGCACCATATCACGTCTTCGAAACGCCTCAAAGCGCTTCACAGAATATACCGAAAAGTGAATTGAAAGATATTTTGTGGATGAAAAAACGGCAACCAATTGCGCACAGCAGTGTCCCACAAACAATCATGGATTGAGCGACTAAATTATTATTTTGTTTACTTTTTTTTGAAGGAATTATTACTCCGGAAAAGAGATCCACCAATAACCGGGTTCCTACTTACTGCTAGGTAAACAGAGGCATGTGGAGTAAGGAAATTTGCCTTATGTCTCGCCATGCTGGGAATCGAACCTGGGTCCTCTCAGCAATTAGGAAGGCTAACAACATGTTAGAGTCTATTGCAAAGGGGTTAAAAGAGTACAAGAATAGTCTTACTGCAATTGTATAGGGCCTTGGTGAGACTGCACCTAGAATATTGTGTGCAGTTTTGGTCTACTTATCTAAGAAAGGACATACTCGCCTTAGAGGGGGTGCAACGTAGGTTCACCAGGTTGGTTCCTGGGATGAGTGGGTTGACCTACGAGGAGAGGTTGAGTAGTCTAGGCCTATATTCTCTAGAATATAGAAAAATTAGAGGTGATCTTATAGAAACCTATATGATTCTTAAGGGTCTTGACAGGGTAGATAGTGTGAGACTGATTCCCCTGGTTGGAGAATCTAAAACTAGGAGTCGTAGTCTCACGATTAAAGGTCAGCTCTTTAGAACTGAGTTGGGAAAACATTTCTTCACTCAGAGGGTAGTGAATTTATGGAGTTCTCAACCCCAGAAGGCTGTAGATGCTCAGTCCTTGAACATATTCAAGACTGAGATTGATTGATTTTTAAAAACTAAAGGAATTAAGGGATATGGGGATAGGGCGGATAAATGCAATTAGGTTAGAAGATCAGCCATGATCTGATTAAATGGCGGGTCAGGCTCGATCGAGGGGCCGAATTGCCTACTCCTGTTCCTATTTCTTATGTTCTCTCACTTGCGAGATGGGTGCTCTAACCACTAAACTACAGGATTCCACAAAGTAATTAAGTAATTGGTATCCTTTATGTAATTCATTGTTTTCACCAATACCAGATAAGAATTTTTTGAGATTTGAGACAACTCTTCTTTTTGATTTAAAATCATAGATAACTAAGTACATTTCATACCTTTGATTGAATTTGGTTTGTAAAACAGATATGAAGTGACCCTCCATCCCTATTTCAAAATGTGAAATTTCCTCTTGGTTATCTTGTCTTATATTTGATCCCCATCCAAATTCACCCCCAAATTCTAATGAGCTACTCATCTTTAGGTTCAAATTAGTTACTATGATTGCCTCCATGACATCCACTGCCTTTCCAATTAATTTCATTTTGTAAAGCACTAGTAGAGTGCTGATAGACATATTCTATATCAAATAGGTGCTATAGATATGCAAAATGCTATCAGTGCACCACCTTTCAATTCTAAAGCTATAAATAATGATAATCACCCTTACATTTGGTACTGCACTTTTCGGGTTGGGAGAAAGTACCAAAGCGCTTCAAGGGATATATTGTAAAGTTCAGTGACTTTTGTGGGCAAAGGTTTTTTTCTAGTCACTTTCAAATATCATGAGAAAAATAGCTTCAAAATTAAGTAATCAAAACCATCAATATTAAAATATTTAATACTGCATAAAACTACACAGAATTACAATACTATTTAAATGTTCTATAGGAAAGTTTAAATGTTTATTAACAATATTCATATTGTTATTGAACAATATTGGAGTCCTCTACCATATTGGTTAGCGTGCTTGCTTCACAAGTGAGATGACCCGGGGACAATTCCGGGCAGGGCAAAACTTTAGTTTCCTTACTCCACAAACCTGTTTACCTAGCAGTAAATAGGAACCAGGTTGTTAATTGATTGGGAGATTTCTGTGGGTAATAATCCCTCAAACAAAATTGGTCAGTCAACCCACGACCATTTGTGGGAAACTGCTGTGTGCAATCGGGTGCCGTGTTTCCCTGTGAAATCTGACACAAATTCAATTTACAATATATTCTATGAAGTGTTTTGAGACATTTCAACGACATGATAAGGTGTTATATAAAGTGCAAGGATTATTATTATTATTCCAGGTCAAGTTAGTCAGCTATCCTTGCTGCATACATCCATCATTACACCTTCCTTCCTTCAAATACAAATCCATAATCAGATGCATTCACTTCCACAGGTATGCAGCAACTGCCATGACAGCCTGACAAGCAACAATAAACATATAAGAAAAAACACTGGCTGAAACCCTAGAGTAAAAATTTACCTGGAGCACATTCCAGCCAAACTTCCATATAACTAATATTCAGCAAGCTGAAGATATTTGAAGTTAAGAAACTAAATACAGTAGACAATATTTCAACAGCCTATCGCTGATGAGAGGTGGTGTCATACCAGCTTTGCAGGGTGAACAGAGGTGATTCCCTTCAACATTGGGACAAAACATTTTACCGTAAACAATTACTGTGTCAGATTCTACAGAAAAAATAACCAAATATGATATAAAGAAAAATCCGCCAGCTAGCTGAAGTAGGTTTTTGATATAATTGTTATATCCGATGACAAATGCTTTTGATATTTCTTGAATACATCAGAGCAGATAATTGTGGTTTCTTAATCTATTGACAATGCAATCTAAAGTTGAAGTCCAACTAAAATTTATTTTTAATGAACATTGTCATGTTGATGTCATTATTGTCAAGGGAAGTGATTATTTTTGTAGGCAAGTTTAGTTATTTGCACTAAAACGGATCCACAAAGAGCTAGGAGATAAATAGCCAATTAATCTAAGGGAATGCTGGCAAGAACACTGGGAGAAACTCATTTATTTTTCAAATAATGTCATTAAATCCCGTTAATCTGTTTTGGTACTTAATTAGATGATAGCAGAACTGTTAACGTAATTTCTCTGTCATTTGTCCACATCCATCATCAACATTACATTTGTATAATGCCTTTCACGTCGGGAGGACGTCCCAAGGCACTGGACAGAGCACAGTATTTCAGACCTAAGCTGGGTTGGGCGGGGAAGGGAGGTGGCCGATGGCATGGCCGAAGAGGAGGGTCTTGAGGTGGGCTAAGACTTGAAGGAGGCAAAGGAGGGGCGAGGCAGAGTGATTGGGGGATGGAATTCCAGAGGTTGGGGGCAGAGTGGCTGAAGGCTCTCCCGCCAATGGTTGGGCGGGTGGGTCAGGAGACATGGAGCAGGCCAGAGCCGGCTGAGCGGAGGGATTGGGCGGGTTGGTAAGGGGTTAGGAGGTCGCAAAGGTAGGGTGGGGTGAGGCCATGGAGGGCTTTGTATGTGAGGACCAAGATCTTGAACTATCTATCCCTCTGAAGGATAGGGAGCCAATGGAGTCGGGCGAGAATGGGGAAGATGGGGTCACGGAGTTTGGTGCGGGAGAGGACACGGGCTGCAGAGTTCTGGATTATCTGCAGCCTGTGGAGGGAGGAGTTGGGAAGGCTGACAAGCAGGGCGTGTGCATAGTCGAGCCTGGAGGTGATGAAGGCATGAACAAGAGTTTCAGTGGCCTGAGGGGTGAGGTAGTGGCAGAGTCGGCGATGTTACGGAGGTGAGGGAAGGCAGAACGGGTCATGGCTTGAATGTGGGGAAGAAAAGACAATTGAGGGTCAAACAAGACACCGAGGTTCCTGACTGGCGGTGAGTTGTAGTGTGCAACCATGGAGGTTGATGTTGCCAGAGCCTGAGGTGCTGAGGCGCTGGCGCGAGCCAATCAGGAGGGCCTCAGTCTTGTTCACATTCAACTGTAGGAAATTTGCCCTCATCCAGGACTTGATGTCCGACAGGCAGTCTGTCAGGACAGCAGTGGTCCTGGAGTTGAGGGTGGAGGCAGAAAGATAGAGTTGGGTGTCATCCGCACATGTGGAAGTTGACCCCATGTCTGCGGATGATGTCACCAAGGAGGAGCATAAAGAGGAGAGGGCCAAGGACAGAGCCCTGAGCTCTTGGCTCAATACCCTTCCTGCATGTAATCCAAACTCCATTTTAAACATCCTGATAGATTTTGATAGTACAGGGCAGAACACCCATATTCTCAAATGCTTTGTGTATAGAAATGTTTTCTGATCTAAAACAGGCAGCAAAGAATCTCAGTTTTAACATCTCATCCAAAAAAATAAGTTAAGATTGATTTCCCACAGATTTTGGTAAATGTACTCGTAATTTACAGAATATGACACGTGAATATTGCAATTTTTCCAACGCTAGTTCTTAAAATCAACAATGGTTAGATAATCTCTCCATCTGTCGTACTGACAACTACTAATCTGACAAATAAGATGAGCTTGCTGCAGAAAGTTAAGCAATATAGATTGCAAAAGAACGGCTGCCTCACAGAATACCAGTCTTAGAAGTGTCGGACGACTTTTGTGGCTATTTGATTAAAACAAAATACATCCCTTCTTATCTTCTGAAACAATCCCCTTGTCCATGAAACCAGCGGTCACAAATATAAGTATTTGTGAGTGCAAAGGGTTAGACTCTTTCAATGTGTCTGAACTATTTACAATAATTTGTCACTTCTGCCCTGACACTTTTAATGAAGCATTCAAAGGTTGGTTAAAACCTAAAGACAGCAATATGAGTGAGTGTAGATCTGTTTAAGATCCCATACTGTAACAAAGTTTGAGGAAATTTCTGATTATAATGTCCGGTTGACATTCAGAATATTATATCTGAAGATCAAAGAGGGACTTTCAGTATACACTTAACTGCATCTGGATGGAGATCTAGTAAGTGAAGGTGAAATTTCACACAGAAAATATTCAAGTTCACATGTGATTTGTACAGTATGTGATTATATGAATATAAAGGGTGGGACAGAAGGGGGAAAAGGAGGAAGTCATAAAGAGGAAGACAACTAATAGTAAGATGATCACTCATGAACTGAGGGTCAGATGGCTTTTTCCTAGTTCAATATATGCTAAACCAAGTTACTTCAAAAAACAGCCAGACAGACCTGTTAACATTAACACAAGGACAATGTATAATATTCTACTTGTGCTAAAAACAATCAAGACATCACATTTCTAGGTGATATTACATTTTTAAGCAACACCTGTACATTAAGGCAACATTAATTATAAGTGTAAGCTTAAAATCACATATTGAAATATTAATGCTGAAGGAATGATCTAGAAATAAAAACTCACAAAATAAACTTTCTGCACAATTTTGTAACTGGTTCATCACAAAGGAAAACAGCTTTAGTATACCAGTTGTCAATCAAAATCATACGTGAATTTTAATTACTTAATAAGATGATCAAACAAAAATTCCTAATTATGAGTAAAACACTCTGGATTTGATGACGTATCTTAATTCACCCCATCCCTAAATTAAGTCAAACCTACCAACTGCAGGTGCATCATATTCATCTCCAAGTAGAATCTCTGGTGCAGAATATGCAAGTGACCCACAGCTTGTTGTTAACTTCTTTCCAGGCTGAAATTTGTTGCTAAACCCAAAATCGGTAAGCTTTACAATTCCTTGTTGTTCAAAGAAAACCACATTTTCTGGCTTCAGGTCTCTATGAACTACATGCAACTTATGACAATAAGATATTGCATGAACTATCTGAGCAAAGTACTTTTTTGCTAGTTCTTCAGAGAGACCATCTTCATGCTTCATGATGTAATCAAACATATCGCCTCCATCTCCCAGTTCCAGAATAAGATAAAGTTTTGTCTGTGTGTCAATCACTTCATATAGACGCACAATGTTGGGATGTTGTACCAGTTTCATGCATCTTACTTCCTGGAACAAGTGTCCTGTAGCTACAGAATCCAGTTTTGTCTTATCGATGACTTTCACTGCTACTTTTTCTCCAGTGAAAACATGACGTGCAAGTTTTACCACAGCAAAATGACCCCTGCCCAATGTTTTATCCAAGTCATACAGCCCAGCAATCTTGCCATCATATCCACGCTTGAAGCCTGCCATGCTGTTGTCAAATCTGGAAACAGCAGAATAAGATTCTTATATCCAAAGCTGGATAATCACTAATCTATGTTTTTTTTCAAAAAGTTCATTCCAGGCAATGAATCCATTTTCTTTACTGGTGAATGTGATGAATCCTGAAACACAAAAGAGGAAAACATTAAGTTCACTAATGTATGGAACAAAAAGAATATAGTAAATCTTGCATAAGTTGTTATCAGTTGAGATGATAATAATCATCATAATAATAATAATAATCCTTGCATTTGGTATAGCGCTTTTCACGTCAGGAGGACGTCCCAAAGCGCTTCACAGAACACACTGTAAAGTGAATTAACTGTATATTTGTGGGCGAACGCGGCAGCCAATTGCGCACAGCAATGTCCCACAAACAGTCATAGATTGAAAATGACCAATTTTTATTATTGTTTTTGGTTTTGGAGGGATTATTATTAGGCTCTGTGTGGAGTAAGGAAACTTGCCCAAGGTTTCGCCCTCTGCCTGGAATTGAACTCAGGTCTCTCACTTGCAAAGCGAGTGCTCTAACCACTGAGCTACAGGACTCCAATATTTAGCTTGACTTACACAAAATATGAGTTACAAACTTGTACAAGTTGAATTATATGAGTAACACATAACAGAAAACAAGTATCCCGTTTTCCGTGCTTGTTTCAACAGAGTACACTGTACTGTACTGTGCACGTAGAACTTCATCACTGCAGCCAGTAACTGTGCATGAGGTGATGGGTCAAGACACTGCAAATGTGTACTTCAATGCAACCAGTAAGTGCGCATGTGGTGACGTATCAAGACTCTGTTTCCCTGGTTGGCTTCAAGCGGAACACTTCAATGCTACTGCTAAGTGTAATAGTGACGTTATAAATTAGAAGATGATTTGCATATGAGTTCGGATTATTTGGAACCAAGAAACCAATACGATTTAGCCGTTTATCTGATTTATAAAATATGACTAGTGCAAAGAAATCTAAGTAATTCTTGGTGGGAAACTGAATGGGACTCGGGTGCATACACGACTTAGGCAATTTTACGATTTATAAAGGGATGACTCATGTGAGTTTTACTGTATTAAAACTACCTACAGTACATGTTTACCATAATAAGAAACACAGAGAAACTATTTAAAATCGAAATACTGTATAAGTAATTTTTCACTCCAATTTCTAAAGAGCATGCATGAATACAATGATTCTTTGCTCTCTTTCCCCTTCCCTTGTATCTGATATATCCACTCTTTCTTCTCCCCATATTACAATACATTTGATACAGAGTATGAAAGAATTTAAAAATTTCTAATTATAAAAGGAAGATTAGTATCAAATGTACCACAAGTGATCTAAAAATACTTAAACAATTAAGTCTATTTCATTACCCAATACAATGACTAGAAGTAATTTAGGTAAATTTAATTTTAATGTTAGACAAGTTATTCAATAGTCCAAAACACAGAATCTATGAAATGGTTTCAGACCTTGTTTTACAAAGGATTTGAATGCAAGGTAAAAAAAACCTCTAGCTTCAGAAAACGTTGCATCAGATTTCCATTATGGTAAATGTTGTTCAACTGATGGATATCACTTTAAGATTTCTTGCAACATAGTTCTCTAAAATGACGTTTCGTTTCATCATCAAGGAAACCCTTATTTTGTACACAGTTTAGTGAAGCAATCTACATTCATTTACACCAATTTTTTTTAGAAATCCCCCCTCAACCAGGTGCTAACCAAATCATATGCTCCTATTATGGTCTCAGCTGGTAAGGTCACCACAGACCAGGGATTGAACTTCAGAAATCACAGGACTGGTCAGCTGCTCATCAAATTAACTGAGAAATCAAGAGAACCCCCTAACTCAAATATTTCTGTGCAGGTCATGAAGTATACAGGTCAAAAAGCTGCCCCCATAAGAGGGATGTAAACTGTGAAACATAACATGAAAAACATATGTATTTACAGTTTTTAAGATGCACTAAAGATTCTGGTGTTGATTTCAGTTACTGAATCACAGCGCTGACAATCAAATTGATGGACTTGATTCTGTGACTGTTGGGTGCTCTCCAACTAAAGAGTTGCCAAGGTCAAAAAGAATAGAAAGCACCTGAACTGTTTACTTGGTCAGACGTCTGACTGACACATATGGAAACACATCACCACGCTGAACAGTATCCAAATCAAACCAAGAATTCCACATGTGTATGTCACCTACAAATGAAATTGTGTCTATATCAGAATGCATTCTCTTCCCAGAAAATGCATCCTGCTTGTCCAATTCTGGAGAGTATTAGGCTCAGGTTGGTGAAAACCAGGTTGGAGACTCCAGAGTATACATTGGGGTACTGCTGTAACTTAACAACACAGATCCCTGACTGTTGAGGGCCTTGGGACGTCCTCCTGACGTGAAAGGCTCTATACAAATCTAATTTGTTGTTGTTACCCAGCTAAAACCATGTAACTTGCCATTGGTCTCAGCAGGACTGCACCACATTGCAAACGTCCCAATGATTGTCCAGTAAGGACCACCTGACTCATTAGGGCTTTGGTTTGGAGGATCAATACTCCTCCATAGGCTGCAGATCACAGAACTCTGCTGCCGGCGTCCTCTCCCTCACCAGGCTCCGTAACCCTATCACCCCCATCCTCCCCCGACTTCCCATCACACAGAGGATACAGTTCAGGATCCTGGTCCTCACCTTCAACGCCCTCCATGGCCTTGCTCCCCCCTACCTCTGCAACCTCCTCACACCCTCCCTTGCCTTCTGCAAGATCCTCCTCTTCGACCACGCCTTTAATCACCCTCCACCCCCCCTGCTCCCCACCCTCCCCAATCCTGATCCCCAGCTCAGGTCCAAAACATTGGCTGTCCAGCGCCTTGGGATGTCCTCCCAATATACAAATGTAATTTGGTTGCTAATGTTGCAAGAGAAGACTGAATTGATATTCTCTTCAACACTTTAAAATCTCTGCTAGAAATGTTATTAAAGAGAGAAAGTTGTCTGTTTATTTAATCTTTTTCCTATAAATATAGAAAGAAGTGTTCTGCAATGCATTTAACATGGAAAAATGGAGATAATCTGAAACGGCCAATAGCGAAACTCACTATCAAGGTCACTTGAACATCAATATTGGTTTCTACCATTGAATACTCCAGAGGGAGGGGGGTTGGGGTGTCAGGGACGGGGGGGGGGTTAGGGGGTCGGTGGGGGGGGGGGTCGGGGTGTCGGTGGGGGAGGTCGGGGTGCCGGTGGGGGGGGTTGGGGTGCCGGTGGGGGGGTTGGGGTGTCGGTGGGGGGGGGAGGGGTGTCGGGGGAGGGGGTCGGGGGAGGGGGTCGGGGGAGGGGTTGG